TAAGAGAATTAAGTTCCCTGATTTCCAGCAATTTCCTAAACTCCATCTAAAAGAATGGTTTCCACCTAATAATTGGAGAGATGAGGTTTTCTAAATGCATTTTATTTTTGCCCTTAAGTTTACTTGATTACTGTGTAATATTTCTAATGACTAAAAAATATCTCCCATGACGGTGCTGTTCTGGAGTCAGTAATGGTAATCCATTACACATGAAGGTCATTTACTCATTCAGCCAATTATTGAGGGGTGACGAAGGGCCAGAACCTGGACAAACAGAAGACACATGATCCTTGCCCCAGCAAGTTTACAGTCTATTGGGTTCTTATTGGAAAGTATGGTGAGAAGATCTGAGGTCGGAGAATATGGTGATGTCTTCCTGAGAAATTGAAGTTCAAGTGGGGAACTAAATGAAAATCAGGAGTTAGATCGAGGTTACAGGAAAAGGTGTCAGACAGAGCAAACTATGCATGAAGACCCTGAGGTCTTTGAGAGCATGGCATCTTTGAACTGAAAGAAAAATGCAGGCAGTTGGACTGTGGAGGGTAAATTGGAGGGTAGGTTGGAGAGGTAAGCAAGGATTATTTGGGGTACAACTTCCTAAACTCTATTCAGGATTATGAATTTGTCCTATGGTAATTAACGCTGGGGAGTGGCATGATTTGATTTGTGTTTTAGATACTTCTGGTTGCAGAGTAGCGAATGCTTTGGAGGAAATGGGTTAAGATAGTGGCAGTAGGAGAAAAAAACAAACAGAGATTCTGCTATTATTTAAAAGACAGATTCAGCAGGATGTGATCACTATTAAATGAGAGATGAAGGAAATTTTCTTTAACACCAGGACATAATTTATTTTTAAATTAACCCAAAACAATACACTAACTTATACAGACAAAAGGTAGGTTTAGGAAAAAAATTCCACAGTTGATTCTCATATGTGACCTCCAACCCAATCTCCTTCATTTGAGAACTGTTAATATAAAGAAAGTATGCTTTACCTTTTAAGTATTCAGAGAAGAAGTTTTTAAAGATGTTACTGACGGTTTTGATGTGGGCTGTATGGTGCTGTGTCCTGTGAGACAGAAGTAAATACCTAGTCAGCAGTTGGAGGTATGGGTCAGGCGGGCAGGAGAGGTCTGTACCAGCAATTCAGAGTTGAAGGCAATTAGCCCAGCGATGGCAGTCAAAGCCCTGGAGTTCAATGAGTTTAATCTGGGAAATCTCCACCCTGAAAAGATTAGAGGACCCAGGATAGATCCCTGAGGATGCTACATTTGAGAGGTGGCTGGAACAATGCTGCTCTACTCAGGCCGCTATTTAGATTCTCCTGCAGAACGTTAAGAATACTGCTGTTTATTCCCTAAGATGTTGGGAGGTGGGTCTAGGAAGAGTGTAATATTGTAATTTATAGAAAGGAAAACGTATGTATTTGGTCTTTGTCCCTGTTTCTGGCACAAAACACCTAAAACCCTTATAATTTCCTGAGGGATAAGAGAGACAAAGATATCTATGGCTATTTTAATGAAGTGGTTTTTGGACCTCACTTAAGAATGGGGGCTGGGCCCAGCCGGTATGGCTCAGTGGTTGAGCACTGATCCATGCACTGAGAGATCACTGGTTGGATTCCCAGTCAGGGCACGTGCCCAGGTTGTGGGCTCGATCCCCGGCAGGGGTGTGCCAGAGCAGCTGATCGATGTTGATGTTTCTTTCTCATCGATGTTTCTATCTCTCTCACCCTCTCCTTTCCTTTCTCTCTAAAACCAATAAAAAAAATTTTGGCAACTATAAAATTAAAAAGAAAAAAGAATGGGGGCTGGTTACTAGTGGAGCCCACCAGATGATTAGAGTGCGGACTTTTCAGTCACACTTCCATGAGCTCCAAGATGGGGAAAGGGGCTGGAGGTGGAATCAATCACGAATGGCCAATGTTTTAATCAATTATGCCTATATAATGAAGCCTCCGTAAAAACTCAAAGGATAGAATGTGGAGAGCTTCCAGGTTGATGAACTCATTGGAACTGAGTGCAGAATCCTTAGTAGGGCGTAGGATCCTCTATGCAGCAGTTCTCAACCTGTGGGTCAGGAACAATGAAAATACATCCTGCATTTCAGATATTTACATTACGATTCATAACAGTAGCAAAATTACAGTTATGAAGTAGCAACAAAAATAATTTTATGGTTGGGGGTCACCACAACATGAGGAACTGTATTAAAGGGTCACGGCATTAGGAAGGTTGAGAACCACTGCTAGGTTCCCAAATGATACGAATATTCATCTCTTCTCCATGGTTGTGAACCACTGGAGAAGAGAAGAGAAGCCTGAAAAAATGCCTGAGGAGAAGCCAAAGGGATGATGGGGAGGACAGGTTGGTGTGGCATTATGGAGGTCTAAGGATGAGAGAATTTGAGAAGAGTGAGTGATTGACAGTATTAAAAGTTGCTCCTCCCGCAGGCTTGTCTCTTCCTTTTCCTACTTACTGTGACTCCATCCCTGTTGAGTTGGGTTGGGCCAAAAAAAAAAAAAAA